CGTTCTTTCATAATGGAAATTTTTTTCCCAGTACACATGCACAATTATTTTTTCCTAACTACTCCAATATAGGATTCCTAAATGCTATTTAAATGAAATAGTTGCCAACTATAGCTTATAGCAAAACACCACGAAAATAAACAAAATCAATACTTTGCCAGATAATCTGACACATTCTAATGTATTCAAATCAAAACATTGCACAAATCACAATATACTGTTTGACACCCTGCAAATGTCTTGAATAAATGGTCTTTGGACAGGCAAGGCAGATTCTATTCATCAGTAACATTGACAAAGGTGAAGTACCTAATTTAAAAGCTGAAGAGCAATACTTTCACAGTGCACAGAAAACATTGTATCCAAGACACATTTTAACCTCTTGCAGAAACAACTCAGTTATCAGCACGACAAAAACATGCAGAAACATACTTTTTCTAAAAAACATGTTACGTTTTCCTCAGCACTGCCCAAGGCTCCAAGGATGGACTCGAGTATCTGCTTTTGACTCATACCTTACACAGCACTGACAACATTAAAAGGAGTACCATGTTCCCATTCATCAGAAGCTTAAATTCTCATTGCTTTACAACAGGAAAAAGCAAAACTTCAAAATGGTCAGAAAATACTAAACAATAAACTGATATCTTTGCTTCAGAAGAAAACCTCTTCTGTCAAAGTTAGTACAGAACTGTACAGCAATATACAGACATTGTGAAAATGAAAAACCAGAATTATGTGGTACATTCAAATTCTGACTTAACTTAAAAAAAAAAAAAAAAAAAGCCAAAGAAACGAGGGGCAAGGTGTCCTAGTTGCCACTAGCGCTTTCATGAAAAAAACCTCAATTTTGTGCTGCTCGGTGCAGTACAACCATATGCAAATCCTACACCTGCTTGTATAGCATTTTTCCTTCAGAAAAAGGAAGAACTACAATAATTGCACTGAGGCGATTATTGATTTTTGGCTGATTGCTTTGTCTTTCAATTTATCTTGGTTCATAAATAACAACTACAGCAGACTTATAATTAATGCATGTTTTAGATGGAGTCAAGTTTGCTTTTTAATAAGGTATTTTTATCTTTTAAATTAATTAGATTGCACACTGAAGGTCTGTATTTTTATATACTTTCATCCATGACAATTTCTCCTTTTCTAATTTGAAGGAAAATTTAGTTCAGACAGGCAAGCATAGCAGCTCAAGTATGAGTACTGCTTCTCCTCTTCTTTCTCCAAAGATTATCTAAAATTTTGTCAGACTTTGACAAAGGGCATAAACGTAATTATGTTAGCGATCCTTCTGTCATGACTTGGCCCAACATTTATTTGCCAGTCAGTATGTTTACTGATACATATACACATAAGAATATTTATGGTTGCACTTGGTCTTATTTTAAAAACTCTTTACATATGCAAAACACACATTTAAGAAACCACGACACTGGATTAAAGGAATTTTTTTGTGTTTTCTCCAAACAGCAGGTGATATTTTAGAAGTTTTACAGCATAGTTCAAGCATTGCTGAAGCACTGTTTCAGAACTTCAAAGTCATTCAGGCTCTGGATAACCTTGATTTCTTCTTCCCTATTCATGTCCAAAACAAACACAGGAACTTGCATATGCACAATACATACTCTTCACAGAAGTTCCCTACCAGTAGCTCTTGTACTCAAGCCCAAATCTCCACACAGTAGAGGCAGTTAAGTTAGAGACTGCTTGTACACATCTTCAGTATTTGCCCCTTCTTTCTGGTTTAGAAGTCTTATTAGAAAACAAATAAAAGAAGATCCAGCAAGAGAAGTAGATCACTTGTAACATCTCCTGTCAAATATGCTAGAGCTGTATTAACACTGAAAAAGAAAAAAATCTATATGTTCAAGTATTTCATTTGTATACTTATGCCCTAGATGCAAGATGAGCAGTGTTGCACATACTCTTTAAGGCAGTTAACAATCAGAGCTCTCAGCAGTTTTTCAAAACTTGAAATTCCAGAATGGTTTTCCGCAACAAATACAGATTTCTGCATAAATCAAGTTTGGTTATAGTTCTCTCACAGGATAAAAGACAGGCTGTGCTACACAGGGTAAGTAACTTAAGTTCCCTCTTCCCTTTGGCTTCTTTCCCCAGTTCCTCAGTTTTAAGAGAGCTGGACTGCATACCCACTGCTGATGAGTCACATTCTGGGAATACCAGATGTTGTTCTTAGTTTAATGCATTCATTTCATTTTTCTGTAAAGTTTACCATTCAGTAAAAAACTAAAATTGGCAACATACTTAGGACTTTCTAAACCCTAACAATGTGTCCATGACAGTATAGCTCTTTTAAACTGAGAAAAATCAAAAGAAAACTAGTGCGTGACCACACAACTCTAATATAAGACTACTCATTTACACAGTGATGTTAAAGAAATTAAATTAAAGATATCACAGTATTAAAAACAAGCCATTCAATTCACTGTCCAAGTTCAGTAATTGCAGACTACATCAGACAGAAAGTGATATTCACATTTTTTTAGCATTCAATGTGTAAAAAGGTAGAGATTCCCCTCAAACCCCATGCAGTAAACTGCTCTGGGGGTGAATGGGAACTGTATGTCATAACTGTGTATCCCATATACAGTAATCTGAAACTGGTGCCTTGGAGTTCATAACTGCGTTAAGTCTCAGTATTCAAATAAGCAGTCACACTTTCATGTCTAACACTTTGAATTCACACTTGTAAGGATGCTTAGTGCATTAACAGTATGCAACAACTTAAAGAAAGTATTTAGTATTTTACAGTGTCAAGGTCTAATGTTGTTTCTGCAGATTGAAGCAGTGCTGAACAGATTTTTCTTTCCAAAATCTTTTTACTAAGCAAGGAGTCAGGAATGATCCATTATCTGCCCGGTAAATCTGACTATTTAAAGGCAGAACATTCTTCAAATGCAAGCTCTGGAAAGTAATTTATATTCCTATTTTCCATTCCCTTTTATTGCAACACATTTTCCTGCCAAAATAATCCATGCAAGAATGTATGACTGAAGGTATCTGCTCAGAGTTCAATAGTGTACTGTCAACTCCCTCAGTCTGATGTATGACTCTTAATTGAGAGAACTGCCATCTTTCTTTCTTTTTTTTTTTTTTAACAAATTTTTAGGAGTAGCTCCAAAGAAAACAGATAATGAAGAATAGCTGAAAATACTTGCATCTCTAATGCTCTGTGACTAGTTCAATGAAAGCTAGCAGTCATCATTCAGGAAGACAAATCCTTTGCATTTTACAAACCAAATATAGATAAAATTCTTTACCTTACTGTTGACTTTGCAGTGGCACCTGAAAGTGGATAGGTAACATTGATAAACTCCATTCACACAACAGTAACTGAATGCTAAATCTATGATATCTGATGTGTTCTAAGCAAACACTAAGGCTATGACAGTACTTAGATTCTCCCTTTGCTAGAAGGAGCAAGATGAAATAAAGAAGTCATGCCATTGTACAACACTGTATTTTTTCCAAAATAACGATACACTAAAGGAAAATACTTGCAGAATCCACAAGAATGCATATTGGGACTGAAAACAAACACTTATAGATTAATCGATTCAAATCTATTTCATTTATTTATTATTTTCCAAACAGGAAAAAAAAATCTAATAACTATTTATAGCACTTTCTACTAAGAAATCCTACAGTAACCATGCTGTCTGCAGTAATAAATACTTGCAGGAGTGAGTCCTAAATTTACTTGTGCAACATTTGAGCAAGGTTTCAAGCAGTTGAAACTTGCAGTTTCTTGACAATGTCAAGAAATATCAATGCCAGTGTCAAGAAATGTCAATGTCAAGCAGTTGCTTGACAATGAAAAAATAACATTTAAAAAAAACATACTTATTAGACAGTAAGTATTCTCATGATGACTCTTATTTTGGTTACCCAAGTCTAGGGTTTCCATCCTGTATTTGAATCCCATATTCAAAACACTACTACATAGCAGACCACATAACACAACAAAAGCATCTTTTCCAGCAACATTAAGCTTTTATTACAAGTTTTCCTCCTCCAGACCACCAAAAGTGCACATGCTGTCAAAGTCTAATGACTACAAAATGAACTAAACCTTTTGAGACTCTAGTGGGAAATTTCAGTTTACACAGGATCGAGAGCATTGAACTACTGCAATCAAATCCACCTCTGCTTAACTATAAAACAATGACATTGGTTGGTAAATTGGTAATCTATGTAGATTCCTATAAGCAACATTTTGCAACACAACATTTTAGAAGTAATTCACTCAATACAGATGTATAAAGAATCACTAAATATGTGGGAGAAGAGTAAATTTCACTTGCAAAAGGATCCTTCAAAATACCAAGTAAGGGGGCGGGGGGGGTTACACAGATTCATACAGATTCAATTGGTGGAAACCATATTTCCTCATGAGGCCAGCGTTCAATCTAAATGACCATATGCTTGCTCTAAGGCAGTTTCTGCAAACATGTTTGTGGTATTTGAACAAGTAATACAAACAGTTGATCACTGGTACGCTTATCACATTTTGTGCTTTAGGTTCTTTCCACAGCTCTAATCCATCAAGAAAGAAAAAAAAAATACATGCACACATCACTCTTTCATATCCTTAGCTAAAAGTTGTCTCAAGTTTTGCAGTAATTCTTAACCGTGTTGCTTAGGCAGAATATTCCTGTCTGTTGCTTTGTGGGGGTTTTTTGAACAGCATTTCAGCATTGTCAGATTTTAAAACCAGTCACTTTGTTTATCACTCTAAGCTTCAGTTCACTGCCACTTCTCACATGTCCTCCCCTTGGGCATTCCCTAGCTCTGTAATGTTAAGTTTTACAACTGTTTTGGAGCAGTCCCCATCAAGACCAGAAGCTGAAGAAACAAGGGGAATACAGGATAACTGATGCTAAATCCACTGCCCCAAAGGTAAGGATTCACCACATAGGTCATCTAGCACTAGAGACAAAAATCACACCTTCGCTCAACAGTTTGCTTACCTCCCGCAATTCCAGTCTCTGAGCCACTGCTTCCAGACTTTCCTGGCCTGTGCTTTCCACCGATAAGGTGAACTCCACAAATTCACTGTTGAGCAGCTGGATACGAGCCACCAAGCAACTTTTGCTGGATACTGTGTAACGTCGAGTTCGTTTCAGTTTTAACCCAAAAGGTAGAGGCATCTTCTTTCTCCCCCAGGGATGGTTACCGATAAAAAGCTACTACCACCAGGACGTTGAAAGGGACAAGTAGCTATCTCCTCTCCAAAGGCAAGGAGCTGTAAAGTCTCCAAAGATCAACCAGCAGCAGCAGTATCCATTAAAGACAAGCAAGTTTTCCACCAAGAGACAAGTAGAAGGGGCATCCACTAGAATCCTAGTAAGGGGCAAAAGAGAAAGAGAGTAAATACAAGAATCAGAAACAACAGTTTGACTGAAAGGCGAATGGTAACATGGGAAAATTAACATGTATATTTTTTCCAAATCTAAATCGTCAGTCTACTTCTCCAAAATGCAGAGCTGTTTGCATTCACATAATGAAATAAGCACCAGAGTTTCTGGTTTTTCCACAAACGACACTGGTCTTTGGCAAGTTGATTCTTTTTTTTTTTTAAACTCGCAGATGAATAATGAGACTTAATCAAATGTGGCTTCAATGTCTTAAAATATGTATTTCTAAACTGATTCAGTATTTAAATGAAATACATCTACAAAGTCTATGTTGCCTAAGGTATTTCTAATACTGAACAAAGCCACTTTCTGTAACTGCGGATCTGGAAATCTGGGTTGTTTTCCAGAGCGGACCGGCATGCAGCCTCAGCCACTACCCCTTGGATTAAACACCAACCCAAGCCCCATAAGTGATTAAGGGGAAAAAAAACCAGAAAGGCAGGAAGAGAGGCACTAAAGCTTACACCTCAGCTATTTCCTACCAGACAATTAAAACCCAATTCCTCTCATTTTCCCTGCATTACAGCTAGCTGCACTATTATTTCTCACGTTAAACTGCTGTATGATGCTTCAGGTTTCCCTTTGCCTTGCAAAGAGAGCATGTAAATTCTGAGAACTATTTATTTCCTAATTTTTCCTTGAAAAACGTGCTTATTCCCAGTCGAAAGGCAGCCACCCATTTCCCCACCTTTGGCAAACATCTCCACGCCTCCTCCCCTGCCAACTCCTTAACAGGCAAGCTTCCCCCTGCTTCTCTTTTTCAGGTGTTTTCTTACGGCGTGCGCCTCAGCCTAGGAAATGTCACTCGTACTAGCGGTGGTTTTCAGCAGCGAACGCGAAATAAAAGCATTCACTAAATACAGTGAGGGTCTGCGGAAGTCCGTGGGGCGAGAGCGGTCTCTACAGCGAGGCTGGGCACTGATGTGAAAGCGCTTCACACACTTGAGGTAAAGCCGCCATCGCATGAGGTGAGGGGAAGCAATCGTGGGGAGCCTCCCCGCTGCGCTGCTAGCTCCAGGTCGGGCCGGGCAGCAGGCCCCGGACGCCCTTGCAGCCGCTCCCCGGCCTTCGCTGTCCGCACACCGCAGGCCGCGCCCCGCGCCTGGGGAAAGTGGCTGTTCTTCCCGTCACTTGGCTGCTGCGGGCGCGGGGAGCTCTGCACGGGGACCTCTAGCGGCAGCGCCGCACCGCCTGCACGGTAAAAGAGAGCAAGGAACCACCCACGGTTTGTTGTGGTTTGGTTTTGTGTGTTTTCAAGGCTGGTATGCATTAGTACCACGTTTTAAGAGGCGTAATTTGATTTCTGAAGGCTCTTAGAACTATCAGACAAAAATAACATGAGTGGGGGAATCAGAAGAAATAGCCTTCCTAGCATACCTGTTTTTAAACTCAAAGGTACACCTATAAACAGACAGAGAGCCTCATGCTACTTGCACATTTATAGACACAGAAATTTAATGTTACTCAACACAACTGCAAACTCTTTAGGCTGAAAGCCCTCATCAGACTCCCTAATCCCTCAATAAGCAGCACAGCAAAGACAAAATGAGGTGGAAAGACACTTAAGGCCTAAAGTGGGGAGAAAGAGGGAGCAGAGTGGTTTTCCTCAATGGCACCTTTACTATCCTACTCCAAAGAATGACCATAGCATATTTTGTGAAGAGGTTTACAATAATCTGGAAGCAGATTATTCGAGTCCTTCAGAATCCCCATTCTCAACAGATACCACCTGAAATCTCAATTGAATTAAAAAAAAACCTGACCCAAACACCAACTATTTTATTTTTGGGTGCAGCTGCAGAATAAGTAACAACTGATACCAACAGGTTTCCCTGAAAAAATTTGGGATACAAAGGGAAACCTCATTTTATTACTCGCTCTGCACTTTGATCCTCCAAATCCTTCTCCCCTAGAGCAGCATTGCAGGGAATGCTCTAACAGACAGAAGCTTTTTGTTTCCTGCCCACTGCCAGCAGAAACTCACACTGGGTTTATTCCTGACAGCATAACTTTTGGCTGACTGACCTCAGCTCCCGTCCACAAGGCCTGTTTTCCAATACGTTCTTTGCACAGTTACACACTTTCTTCAGTGTTACAGCAAGGAAAAGAAACAGCTCACTTGTCTTTTTGAAAGCTGCAGTCAGAAGTGCAGTCTGTTTTAATCTCAGTTTTTATGTAGTACCACTGAATATGAAAGACTTTCAAACTTTTATGCCCCCATCAGGGCCTTAGCAGTGTATTCTTAGGGCATGGAAAAAAAAATAAAATAGTTAAAACGTTGCTAACCAGATGCTGACCTGACAGTGAAGTTTCCAAACCCTCTAATGCTGACATGAGGCAATCTCAGACTTTCAGTTATTTAGCTATGTGGACAGGTCACAATGGCAGCATAAGAAGTAAGTTTAGAGCAGAATTTTCAGAATGTGCCAGAAGCACTCTTCAGGTTATGATCTGTTGTTTGCATTTATTGCTCTACTGAGCATTTATCCTAAATTATTTCAACTCAGTACATGCCTGACAATCTTCGTTACTTCTGAAGTATGTTCCTAACACAAAAAACTTAACCTAGCTTACACTCCATATCACAAAAGACCAACATAAGAACAGAAATTCCTGAGATAATAATAAATATTGTAGGACAAGGGCAAATTTGATGAGTAACACTGAGGAATCATTCAGCAACTTCTACTGTGAACTATGTGTACTTCTTGCAAACAGGGCTGTGCTGGTTTTATTCAGCAGCTGTGCATTCTGCAGTGCTAGCTGCCTTCTGCATTACTGTAAATTCAGACACACCTGCATTGTTATAAAGCTACTGCAGAAAAACGCACTACATACTGCCAGGAGTTGCAAAGCCAATTGATGACCTCTACAATACATTGTTTTAGCAAGCGTTTATTTAGCAAGTCTGGAATTTTCATGCAACACCTTAAAATGTCTTTAGTGGCCAAACTTCATACATTCAACACAAACATGTAGTTTCAAAAAAGTTACATCAGAATTTCAGCAACATGGCTGTGACTGACACATGGTTACTAAGCACTGTGGTTATCTCTCCCCTTTACCTACACCTCCCACTCCCACCTCAGCAATCAGCATTTTACTTTACAAAGGTTTTTTAAACATCCTGCATGAATGGCAGCATGCAAAATAAAACTGCAATATGTAATAATGAAAAAGAGTTCCTGTTATTTCAAATGCTTAAAGTACATGTATTTATTTCAGCAATATTTGGGGAGCCAAAAATAGAATACTCCACTCTCCACTTGTTTTACCAGTTAATCTTTGACATGACTCTTGGGCTGAAAGAGCAGCAATTAAGCACTTATCTCAAACCTTCCCTACCTCCAGAAGCACAATTCTACAGCCTTTACTTTCAAAAAGTTAATGCTTGAAACTCTTCAGTCTTAGGGTACAGAGCAGGGAAGATCACATTCTATTTTTTTTACTGTGCCTACTGTTTTCCCCTTACCTTGTGCAGTGATCCAAAGACACCAAGTCTCCTTTCACATATGTGTAGCCGTAAAAAACACACAGCGCTCCAAGACTTTTTCTCCCGGAGCCATCTCATCTGTATTCCTCAGGAACTGACTTACTGTGCTCCTCTTGGCCAAAACAGCTGCTATCTCGGCTAACCCACCTTCTTCTCAGATAACTCATAGTCAAAACATTCCTCACTTCCTGTCTCAAAAAACTTGCTCTGAGTATCATTCCACTGGGTAAAGAGCTGGGGGTGGAAGAAAATACTACAACAAAATAAACCTGTGCCAGACAGCTCTTCAGGCAGCCTCCTTCATGTGACGCTGTGCTGCATGACCGCAAACTGCGTTCTTGGGGGTATTTTCAAATTGCCCGTCCCTGTGTGCCTCTGTGTGTGTGCATTTAATTTCTTTTCCTGGAGGCGTTCCCCTCGCTCTATCCATGCGGAAGGATACGCTGAAAGAATTAAAGCAAAGGCCCGTATGCTTGTAGCCCATTACCTCAGAGAATTGGAATGCCTGGCAGGGAGAATGTCAGCAATGAACAGCTGCTTCTCTGGCGACAGGAGCATTACAGAAATAGGGGTTACAACAAATAGCAGGCAATCCTTGCTTTTTAAAATCATATGATCATTTATTTTAAGCCTTTCAAATTAAGGCAAATCTCTTACCAAAATTCTGTTGGTTTCATTTTCACACCACTTGGAAATCTTTTCAGGGTTTAATCTGTACGTGCCATAGCAAATGACCTATGCACATACATTTATATCTGCAGCTGAAAAAATAAGTCCTTGCAAAGTTTAAGCTGTTGGTAATATGCACAGGAATAAAATGCAGACTAAAGACTGATTTTTCAGCCCTTGTCTGGACTTAAAACTCCCAGAGGTGTCGGTAGAATTTATACCCTTAATAACAACTGTCTTAGCAAGGCTTACATGCATATCAATTAAGTAATATTTATAACATTTAACCATCATGTAAGGGCTGCAGTCCAGTGCCACAAACATATGGAGACCTCTGTGTGCATTTCCACAAGTGTGTAATCAGCAGTTGTATGCAGTTTAAAATTTTACAGCTTGCCATTTTGTGAGCCAAGCAACAGTATATACAAACTTGAAACGGGTCAGGGATGAGTAAGAAGGTAAAGCAAGTATGTGAATGCTGACTCATAACTGTAAAACATAGAAAGTGTTTTGGCAATGTAAAGCACACAAACATGCTACTGTCTGAGCAGGTCTAACTTGCAGACCTTCTATGCAAATAGCATGTTACTCAAGAGGACACTGATCTCAGCTGAAATATGTAGGTAATTTTATACTACAATGAATTCTTTTAGACAAAAGTGGTCTTTCCTCAGATCAGGGGAATCTCTCTTCCCCTCTTCCCCCCCCCCCCCCGTCTATGTATCAGCCATAGTTATGATGAAGCAGTCCATAAGCCAAAATAATAACTAATTCAGGGGATTTTTATATTGAATAAAATAAACTATGAACTAACCTAAACCCCTTCTCTCAAGGCATCTGCTACAGGCCAGAACTACAGTTACTTGCTAGAGAAAACTCCAGTACCATAAATGACAAATCCAAGCCATGAAAATTCAGAGTCAAAGAGGCAGCCCCTCCTATTTCTAAACAATTCATACTGGAAACAAGGTCTCAATGCTCTTATCTGTCACATTTCCTACTCTAAACCAAGATCACACCCATTTCCTGCCCGATTCCCTGCCTAGAAGTTTCATTTCTTTGAGTTTTCTTACTTTCCATAGTCCTTGCTGCATTTTCTTTCCTTGCATTTACATTGAAAACAACACCTCATCTTCAAAGAGACATTGTCAATGTGCTCCTCCACTGCCTACATTTTCTCCTTTTGAAGCTCACCAAACCTCTATCCCCGAATAATTTTCTCTTCTGCTTCCTATTACTCCAGTTTGTATCCTGAATTTGTAGGTTTCTGCACTTCTTCCATTTTGCCCTACCTTTTTACCCCATCATCTCTCTACTACCTGCTTTGCTCCATCAACTGTAATAAAAAGGACAAAGAAATTAAGGTGTCCATTAACATGTGGTGAACTCTGATAAAGACATAATCAAAAAGACAGTGACAGCCTCAGGGCACCCCTCTGTGCTTCTGCTTCTCCTCTTTAGCCCCTGATCAACACTCATGACATACATGGGCAGAAAAACCTGTGTATTTTGCTGTACTTTTTACTGTCTTGTTGAAGATTACAGGAGGAAAAATTAATATCTGACAGCTGAATGTTCCAGCCCTTGCTCTGGAAGTAGAAAGAAAAGTTTCTGCCTGTTGGGTTGAATACTGCCTGGCCACAGCATAACAGGGATAAACCCATTTTGATTCTTACTGATGTCTTCCCTTCTGGGGCCAGTTTTCCTTTTTTTTTTTCGTCCTGGTCCAAGTAGATTGCAGTTGAGTGTATCAGCCAACAGGGTGAAGGCTGACACAAGTTTCCATCTTGTTCCGATTCTGGGAACTCTCTCCAGGATCAGATCTTTGCACTGACCAACAGTTAGATGGAAGGCTGGCAGTGAGCCAAACGGGAAGCAGAATCAGCCACCCTCCAGGCAGAAAAACAGTCTGCATGTATATACTCTTCAGCCTAGCATGGAGTTATCCACTGGTGTTAAACACACAGGCAGGATAAATCCAGAAGCTATGAGTTAAACGGGTATTCCCAGGGTGCTGAAACAATGAAGAAGTCATGGAAAAATACCTCCATTTACTCACTAGCCATGCAAAATCAACATAATGAACTGAAAAGTCAGACTACCTCTGATTCTACATGGGACTCTTAAAGCTGTCCTCTCAGCAACTTTTAGGATGAAATTCATTATATTAAGCATTTCCATGCTTTGGCTCTGTGTCTGAAGTGGTTTTTCATCATTCCATTTCTTATTTGTGGAAAAAAAAAAAAAAGATAGCTGGGTCTTTATGCATCCTTATGTATTCATGGGGAAAATGCACGCTGCTAGAAAAATAAGCATACAATATGTTTCGAAGCCTGAAATTTCGTATCTGCAAGATTAATTTTTACTTGTAAGGCACAGTAAAATGTTTTATTGGTTTGGGGTTTTTTAAAATAGAAATTTAAATCTTTGATTTTTGTTCTTTTTCAGAAAAAGCATTAATATTAAAAGTAACTTTATAGTTAATGTTGTAGTATTCCTATTTATGATGAGCTATGTGGCAGGACTCTATAAACCAGTTTTATAAAAACCACGAATGAAGAAAGAGGCAACTTTAAAAAAGCTTGATGTTACACTCGAATGATTAAGAGTAGCCCCTCTGATACACAACTACTTAGAGATACGCTGGAAAATACAAGTATTTTCTTTACCCTCGGGCCAGACTGCACAGCGATTCCTGGCTGCCCACTGCTTGACAAGCAGTGAGCGTGGTGATAAGACGGCCCAGGGCGGCCTCCCAGTTGGGGCTGCGCGTCCCCCTAATCCCCGCGGCCCTGGCTGGGGGGGGTACACCGGAGGCCCGTGCGGGCCGGGCGTAGGCAGCATTAGGTTAGAGGGGCAAAGGTCGGTGCGGGCCTCGAGCACCAGGCAGCTGGCTAGGGCGACAGGTGGGAAAGGAGCAAGGAAGGACGAGGGGAGCCGTCAGGGATTGCTGAAGAGCGTTCTGAGCGAGCTCGGGGACCTTTCGCCTCCACCTTGCTGCCTGCTGGCCTCTGGGGCGCCACTCGCCTTCCTGGGGTGGAGGCGGCGGCGACGACGGGGAAGCACCGGCGCGGCCCGAAAGGGGGCGCCGCAGGTGGAGGCCGTGTACTCTCTGGCGCTGCCGCGGCCTGCGGCGGGAGTGGAGCCTGGAGGCCGCGGTAGGAGGGGATACGGCACGACAGGAAGGATCGGATCGGCGCGACCATGGAGATCGGCACCGAGATCAGCCGCAAGATCCGGGTGAGAAAGAAGCAGCCAAGCCGTTCATTTTCCACTCGCGGCAAGAGCCTGACCCCGCTTGCTTGCGGCAGGCCAGGCCGGTGGCTGAGGCGCGGCGGCGGCGGGCGCGGTGCGGAGTGTGCAGAACCGGGCCCCTCGTCCCCCAGCGGGAGGAAACGGGGGGGTGAACCCCAGCTGGGCCGGGGCTACAGCCAGCTCCCGCCGAAGGGCGGCCTTCGGCCTCGGGACTCCCCGGGAGGGGGCACGTCCAGAAAAATTGTTTTGGGAGGCGGAGCCGGACTCGTACGCCGAAGGGCAGCTGCCGTCTCCGGAGCTGTAGTTCTCGCTCTGCAGCGGCCCGGAAACGGCGGCTTACCGGGAAAAGGACCAGCCGTAGCCCTCCACTCTGGTATATAAGCCCCCGGTAGCACAGGTCTTGTCAGCTGCTCCTCCTCAGCAATTGCAGTTTGAACATCCTGGCAGGTGTTTTTCTCGTACTGAGACGAGAATGACATTTTATCGAAACATACGGGATTCGTTTTCTTTGCACCTTAGGAGTCCGTCTGGTCTGTGCTTAAAACAGGACAGCTGGGACTTGGAGGTTCTCTGGTAGCACCAGAAACTGGTATATAGGAAATACTGTAGGGAGTGTGAGATTCCTGGCAGTTCTCACTATTCCACTATCAGTCACTCAGTGTTAAAACATCTATAATCACAAGCAGTGGAGAACAGGAAAAGTAACATGTGAAACCAATGTGTTCAAATGGTTAATGAGAAAAAACTGCTAAGTTTTGAAGTTAGCAGTATTTTTTTTCTCCATCCCTTAAATGCTATTTTATTATTTTTTAGGGTGCTATAAAAGGAAAGTTGCAGGAGCTGGGGGCTTATGTTGGTAAGTTTTATCACGTGTTTAGCAGTCTTCTTTAGGTTCATTGTTGTTACATAGGAAACTACCAGCTAGTTAATACAACAGCATATATACTTATTACTTGTGTTACTGCATACAGAAGCCTTACACATCAGATGAATTATCTGAAGTGCTGTGTCTCTGAGTATTTAAGGAAATTTCTTTGAAACGCAAGTAGAAACATAATATAAAGCAAGATCCTTGCAAATACAGCAGCAGTTACCTGTGACTAGTCTCAGATGGAGTCAGTCCTCCTTAGGCATCTTTTCAACTGTTTTGAATTCAGGGTGAGACCTTTGTCAATATTAGGAGAAATGATATTACTGTAAGACAGAGATAGGCTAAGTATTTTGGGAGGTAAAAAGGCCATGTCAGAAATGTTATGTAGGACAAATTTGTAAAATGCAAGAGCTTGACTGTTAAGGGGAAGACCAAGACTTAAGCTAATGTTAATGTAACATATGTAGCTGAATCTTAGAGGCAGGGTGAGATTTTCTTTTGGGTTGTGAGAAAAGAGATATAAAGACTGAAACAGATTGCCAAGGAAGTGGTAAATGCTCCATCCCTGGAAGTGTTCAAGGCCAGGTTGGACAGAGCTTTGAGTGACATGGTCTAGTGTGAGGCATCACTGCCCATGGCAGGGGGGTTGGAGCTAGATGATCTGAAGGTCCTTTCCAGCCCAGACCATTCTATGATTCTGTGTTTGATCAAACTAAATTGAAATATGTGCTCAAGAAGCATGCCTAGTGCCCTCAAGCAGCAAATAACACCATTCAGACCTTCAGAGTAGGCCAGAGCTAGGCCAAAGTAAAAAGCTGAGCACCAAACCCAAAAAAACTGTTTTGTTTTGTTGTTGTTTTTTTTTCCTGAATCCAGGATTAAATGGATATTGTACTTAAGAGCAGCTGGTTTGTGGGTGTTTTTA